CAATGAAAACAATTTAGTATTGTTTATCCTTTTATTTAAAATGAAAATAATAATAATAATAACCAAATCTTTAATTGAAACAAAACAACTGGAAATTGAATACACATTATGCATGGTTTCTACATGTTTGGATTTTTTTAAACCTCAACTTACCTAGTTAACAGCTGTGAGTGTTTAGATTAGAGAGCATTTTTCCATACATGATCTTTCCAGATTCCCCAGGTTCTTTGGTCCATATTGGTGCTCGTTCCTCTTCAGATAATCTGTCATTTTCTATATAAGGTTCAGATCAGGGGATTGGCATGGCCACTGCAGAACTTTTTGTTCTTAGTGATCTATATTTATATATTTTGTTTTGTTTTGTCTATTTATATTTTCTAAGTTTGTTTAGGATCAATCTTATTTGGGAAGATCCAGTCATGTCCTAGTATAAGACTGATAGCACAAGCAGTCCGTTTTTCATTTTTTAAAACTGTTTGTATTTGCAAGATTTTGAGATGCTATGTAAACAACATGCAGGCTGTCTGGGAAAATATAAATAAAAAATAACTCTGCGCATCAAAGATCTATAAGATTTGTAAACAAAACCCGTCCTGTTTGTTTGCTAATCATAGATCACAGGTGTCAAACTCAGTTCCAAAAGGGCCGCAGCTCTGCACAGTTTAGTTCCAACCCGAATTAAACACACCTGATCAAACTAATTTAGTCCTTCAGGCTTGTTTGAAACCTACAGGTAAGTGTGTTGAAGCAGAGTTGGAACTAAACTGTGCAGGGCTTCGGCCCTCCAGGAATTGAGTTTGACACCCGTCATAGATCATCTGATTAGAACGCCCTATTTTGAAGGTCCAGTAGTGTCTGATAACTGTACTGAATATGCTGGAGTTTGTTTTCAAGTAAATGCTGAATGTTTGTGACAGCATCCCACATCAATTAAACTATTCTCCTCACAGTGCATTAAGACAATACAAAAGTCCTATTTCAGGCAGATTTAGAATATCTCAGTTTGATTGTAACTTCTTAGTTAATAACCTAATGGCATTATTCAATGCATTACATACTTTTCTTACAGTCACTTTCTATTTTCTGAGAATCAACAATTTCCATAGAACTTTGCTTTTTGCTTTTACTCATTTTGATGGATGAATGATGGTATTTGTCTTTGCCTTTTTGTTTCGTATTTATGAATGAAATTGAGAGCCACAGGCCTCTTTTTTTGTTTGGACTCTCTCTGGTGTGCTAAAAACATGTAAATGTGAATGAAAAATACTCTTTAGGGGTGCCAATAATTGTGTATTGGATAAAAATGTGCTAAATTGAACACATTTCACACCCCCCCTCCCCTCCCTCCCTCTGTTCAATAGATTTATTTAAAAGAAAGGTTAGGCTTTTGCGAATACTGCTCTAAATTCAAACATCCTAGAGTACCAAATGACAATCTCACAACAACAGAAACAACGAAAAAATCCAGTCCTTGATGTACATAAAGTAGAGTTTGTCCTGTACGGCGAGGTCTCCGCTTTACTGAAATACACACAGTGGCAGTGAAGAGGCATGACCGCTCCAGCAATTACTGACTCCGCACCTCTGACTCTTTAATTTGTTCCTCACGGACTTGCCTGAAGCCAATACGCAAAATCAATAGTCTCTCCTCCAGAAGAACTACTGCCAACAGCTGCACTGACATATGAAGATACATGCTCTCACATGAGGTCAAAAAACCAGAGCATTGCACATATTGTTTTGTGTCACGTGTTTGCGTATAACACGCTCAGTGACGGGCTTAATTGTTTGTTTATGTTTTTTTTTCTTTCTGTGCGCTCTTTATTCTTCTACAAATCCGCTAAGTGGCTGTCTGTCAACACGAGGTAAATTGTTCTAACTGAGCTGTTAATCTATGCTAGATCCATGAGCTATTTAGTTGTAGTGCAGTAAGTGTTTCTCTGTTCGGAGGAAACCACTCATTAACACAGCATGTAACAAGATTTGCTCTTAGCACTTAGCAGTTGTCGAAATCCACTTTACCTGTTTTTTTTTCTCATTACGTGATAATGGACGAAGAATCACGGTGGCTCGATAGCCTCGCAATTAATCTCATCTGCATTGTGTTAAGAGTGTTGCTGCTCCACATTGTATTTATTTTCTTCTAAAGTACATGTGGGGTTAAATAGACATTAGAGAGGGGTTGCATTGTGGTCATCTGACTATACTTTCCATTTTATTAACATAACATGTGTAATTGAATAGAATGGATATGTTTTACTGATGAAACTCATGTTGCCATTTTTCTGTACACAAATGCAACATGAGAAGATATAAAAGCCTCCACTGCACTTTTAACTTCTGCACTTTAATGGATGAAAAATTTGACAAAGTGAATTTTAAATGTAATGTTAAATGTTTCATTTCTTCTTTAATATTCTGAAATTATAAATAATGTTTTTACATGTTTGTTTTAATTGTTATTGTTTTTTACAATATAATAAACTTCAGTTCATTCTCAGACTATTTTATATAAATATTATAGGCTTTAAGTTCTACAATAAATACCTCATCAAGATTAAAAAATGGTGTTTATAGTAAATGCAAAATTTGAGTTTCTCAGAAAAAACATTTGAAATTTATTTTTAGCTTTTGCTCTTTCTCAAATTTTCTATTCACTTAATAATGGCAGATATATTTTTTGGATTTGAACCTACAGTTGAAATCAGTATTAATAAACCCCCTTTGATTTTTTTTCTTTTTTTAAATATTTCCCAAATGATGTTTAACAGAGCTAGGAAATTTTCACTGTATGTCTGATTTTTTTCACACTGATGTCTTTATTTATTTCTTCCAGAAAAAGTCTTATTTGTTTCATTTAGGTTAGAGTAAAAGCAGTTTTTTTAAATTTTTGTAAACCATTTTAAGGTCAAAATTATTATAACCATCATTTTACAATAACTTGCCTAATAACCCTAACTTGCCTAGTTTACCTAATTAACCTAGTTAAGCCTTTAAATGTCACTTTAAGCTATATAGAAGTATCTTGAAAAAAATATAGTCAAATATTATTTACTGTCATCATGGCAAAGATAAAATAAATCAGTGATTAGAAATGAGTTATTAAACTATCATGTTTAGAAATGTGTTGAAAAAAATCCTCTCATGTTAAACAGAAATTGGGGAAAAAAATAGACAGGGGGGCTAATAATTCAGGGGGTTTCAAAATTCTGACTTTAACTGTAAATTTTCTCACCATTTCAGTTTGTTTCCAAATGCTAATATGTAGCTTAATTATTTTAGAATATTAGCATCAATGTTGGGTGTAATTAGTGACTGTAATTAAATTACTTTTCAGCTTAAAAAATAGGGTTAGGGATGACTTTATTTTAGGTAATTCAATTACATTTACAGTTTTATATGACCCAGGCTCATTTTGAAAAATTGCTGCTATTTGCAATTCTGGAGAGCGCCAAATACATCCCAGGAGCTACGTCCTTTTGCAGTTTTTGTTTTTGCAAATCCTTCTCTTGCGGGTGCCATTCGCGTCTGCTGTTCTCACGCAAATCCACTAGAGATCGCTGTCGATTGACTGACTGACCGATCGACTGACCCACCTTCTCCTTTCCTAAGCCCAAACAATAGTGTTTTCAAAAGCACCGATTGACCCGCCCTCCCACTTCTTTAAACCCAACCGACAGTTTTAAAAGCAGTCCAGAAAAAGAAAAGGCCTCGCCTGATTTTTACCACGTTTTCAGATTTGACCACATTCTAACCCTGTTATTTACTTGTTTATTTTCTGTTTTTGTCTTACCCGCTTTCTAGAACTATTCTTTGTCTGACTTAAACCCCATTGTCGTGGTCAACTCCTCGCTGCATCTAAAGTCCGCCGATGTACATGGCGAGCTAACTGGACAAACTGGAAGCAAATGGACAGTCAACCATATGGAGGTAAGTGGTCCGCTGGTAAGCGCAAAAAGGAACGCCGTCATACCGCCCTGTATCGTTAGTTTTTAAGATGAAATGCAGCCATATGTACTTTTGGCTACATAATTCACAAATAAAGTAATGTATATACCTTAGGGTTACATTTCGAGAATGATGTTGGTTTTATATTGGTGATAATTTAATTATAATAATAAATTGTGAGAAGCAAAGGAATCTAGCCTATCTTTTGCAGAATAATTCATTTTTTTTCAACTAAAGAAAAAAATGTCAAGAAAATTGCATACGGTATGCTTAATAAATACACAGAAGATAGCTCACGACGATATAAGCTATAAGGTACAAGCAAAGTATTAATATTGAACTTATATATACTACAATTTTTCTACTAAATAAGGTTTTTTTATGCTTTCAAAACATTGTAATGTTTTTTTTTTTTCAAATGTATATGTATGAAATATGGTATCACTAGTTTGATACACCTTTATACAAAACTTTTTAAATTTAATTGTTTACATTATTTTCCCTCAAAACAAAACTAAGAGGCCCTGTTTGACTCAAATTTAAAGATTTGAGTTTAAATTCTATTATCTGTTTGTTGATATTTTAATTGTTGGTGTGGAGTCAGTAAAATAAATTACTCATTAAAATGTACTTTTAAGTTACTTTTTAGACAAAGTAATTAGAAAAGTAATTTAAAAACAACTTTCATGATGTAATTAATAATTTACATTACTTTTTTAAGTATCTTACCAGATATTGTCAAGGATAAATGATAATACATGTTTAGAATCATCCTGAAATTGTATCTGATATAATTTAACAGTGTTTATGAAATAATTCTATAATGTATATATTTATTAATGTTGGTCTGCCACACATAGACACAAGATTAATGATAATAAATAACAATATAATAGTAGTAGTAGTAGTAGTAATAATATTAATGATAATAATAATAACAACAACAACAACAACAACAATAATAATAATAATAATAATGATTATTATTATTATTATTATTATTATTATTATTATTATTATTATCATTATCATTATTATTATTATTATTTAAAATGAGTTCAATAAGTTTTTACCAAAAGAAATTGCATTATAATTGATATTGAATGTGACTTTGATTTCATGTCATTAAACTCCAGTTATTTATTTAACTTTACCCTCAATAGTATCCTCCTAAAGTTCATCTGTAACTTTTTCAAGCTTCATGTGGGTGTACTATGAGTCAAGAGCGAAGTCTTTCTCCCTGGGCATCTTATTTTTAGACATTGTACATGGGCTAAAGACCTAATGACATTAATTGTGACTTCAAGCTAAGTTTACAAAGTTTTTGGCCTAGAAAGTGCCCGGTGGCCTGGCGTTAGACCTGTTGGAGGGCCTCTGTTCATTACCGTTATGGGCAGGGGGTGGTCTGTATGTTTGTGTGTGTGTGCGTGGCTGTGTGTATTATGGTGTTTTCAGGACCAGGCTGTGAAATGCCGGTGAGGAACAGCCTGCAGACTGTTTGCGCTGATGTCACAGAGAGGTATGATGACGTGTGCAGTTAGGTCTGTCAGTGTTCATCCATCAGCAGTGTGGCCGGTCACTGGCCTCTCTCCATCCCCACAGCTGAGACCAATGTGGACAGACAGTTGGAGCCCCTCGTATTTAAAGCTAAGAAGTTCAGACAGATGACACCCCTCAGGGAGGCCTGCAATTGTGAGTCCCCTCGCCTGCGCCTTTTCTATTTCCCCGAGTGAGGCGAGAGATCCTGCTTATTGCCTGTCACTCACTATGTTTATTTGGACAACAATATTTTCACATGATTAAGATAATACTCTGATTAAACATCTACCATCAGTACGTTTACATGGACAGCAATATTCCTCTATTAACATGATTAACATGAGGTTTTGATCACGAATCTATCAAGTAAACAGAGATTTGTGATTAACTCAATCTGTTGAAAATCAGAGTTGTGTCAGGTGAATATTTACATTAGTTCACTATAGTATACACTGTCAAACTTTTCGTTGTAAATTTACAGAATAATACTGGTTGCTGGGTTGCCAGCCACATACTGGATTTTTACTGCACCACTTCTGTAAATTCTCTACACTGTAAAAATGTGTTCTGTAAATTAACAGTAAAACACTGGAAGTTCCAGTTGCCAGAAATGTTCTGATATTTTAAAGTCTGTTGCTGTAAAAATACATGCACTGAATTAAAACTCAAGTAAACTTATTTCATTCACAGAATAGACTACCTCAATTTGACCAACTGCTGTTAAAGTTTCTGAAAAAATATTTCTAATGAGTTGTATGATTAACGCAAGCATATTTATAACAGTAACTTATTTTTGTTATTTCTAACCATTCAATTTAACCCAAATCTCTTGTTGCTCAATTGTCAATAATTCAAATTAACACAATTTAATTTCCGATTGCTTGGGCAGATTTTTATTTTGATACCTAATAATTAACATAGAGACTCTCACTATATTAGTATCTACACATTACTGTATTTGAATAAAGAAACATGCAGAAAAACATAAATTGACTCAAACTTTGGCTCTACTCTCCTCCACAAGGGTAACGCATAAAAGGGACAGAGGCAATTTGATGCAAGTTTTACTGAAAAAATACAGTTTTTCCTTGATTTTACAGAATAATAATGTCAGCTGGGTTGCCAGCCATGTATTGTGTTTTTACAGTCTACTACTGTAGTTTACATTTAAAGTATATTACTGTTAAAATACAATTATACACAGTTTTACCGCTTAAACCCCCACAAGAAAATCCCCAGATTTAATGAAAGCTTCCATGTCTTCACACTACGGAGTGCTCAAGATACAGTGAAACACCGCTGAAGATAATGAGTTAATTATATAATAATTAAGGATTGGTGATTAACAAATACTGTTTATAAAAAGAAACAAAAACTACAACTGACTTCAGTCAAAGCTTTGTAATGAAATCAACTGAAGTACAACAAATTATTAAATCACTAAAAATTCAATTAAAAATGATTAAATCACTAAAAATCAGCAGATAGTCAAAGCACTCAACAAACAGCATTACCAGCTATGCTTATTACTAGCCTGGTAAATTTTGTCTTACATCCACAAAAGTTCTTCTTGAGATAGAACTTTACATTTAAAGTAATCGTCATGAAGAACAGTGTTAGCATTAGTTGGGCTCTTAACTTTTTATATATTTATTTATTTATTTATTGTGGCTGTTCCTTTTAAGAACTTTGTTTTAAAAATTTATTTGTTACAGCAAACAAGCCAAGCAAAAAAAAATAAATAAACAAATAAAATGTCAGGTGTTGCTAATTTTCTTTTAAGTGAGGCAGAACATATCCTGAAATTGTATAATTCACAGACGTTATCCAATGTTTGATCCATTATTAAAAGTAGTAGTTATTAAAACTATTGTTAAAATATGTGTTGAAACTAAATATTATAATATAATGTAATAATATAATATTTAAAAAAGAATAAAAATTTCAATTGAGGGTTAATAACCAGAATACACACACAACAGTGATTAACAACATACTCTGATTTTGCAGAATTAAACACATTCCAGTCATATTTTGTTGATCTTTTTGTTGAACATCGTTGCTGTCTAACTATGTAATCCTAATCTAATTCTTTCAATTAAAACTAATCTTAACTTTTAAGTTATTCAAGTCTAAACTTAACATAAACATTAAACTTGTCTTTTAAATCTGATTGATTAAAATGTTGTCAATGCTGGAACATGTTGCACTTGCTAAAATCAGGTTCTGAAGTGGTCAACATTTTGATAGCAAACAAAAAATAACACTTTTTATATGCACTATTTACACATTTAGTTAACCTAAATCTAAATTTTCTTCTTTAAGTTCAAAAGATCAGTTTTGTGAAAAAACTTTGCAAGTTCACCCAAAAAAACGCTAAAACACCCAAAAAGTTGAGTTAATCTCAGACCTCCCCACTTGAAAAAATAAAAGTTGCAGTATTTGTAACCCTAACAACAACAGCAAAAATAATAGTAACCAATAATAACATTAATGTCATTAATATTACCAACAACACAACAACAAAATACTACTGCAATAATGCTAATGTAATTTGAAATTATTTATTTGTAATTCATCTGTGTCAATTAAATGTTTTGTTAACATTTGTCTCCGTTTTAATTTCATTTTTTTTTTCTCAATTGATCTAGGTTTGTTTGTTCTGAAAATGTATTATTCCTTAGTACCAATTTCCAAATTAGTTTTTTTTTCACTCAACTTCAGACAATTTAGGTCAGTGCAACTGATGTTTTCAAAAATTGAGTAAACAAAGAAAAAGAAAGCAATTATGCTTTTTTTTGTTCACTCAACTTAAGGCATTCCAGTTCTACGAACAAATACTGTTCAGTTGGCACAACTTAAAGCTACTCAAAACAGTGTATAGTACATAAAAAAGAAAAATATATATTTATATGTAAAAATGTAAGGGGAACATCTGATGGCATTAAATAGGGCAGGGTTGTCCAAACTCGATCCCGGAGGGCCGGTGTCCTGCATATTTAAGTTTTAACCCCAATTAAACACACCTAATCCAGCTAATCAAGCTATTTCTAGGCATACTTGAAACTTCTAGGCAGGTGTGTTAAAGGAAGTTGGAGCTAAACTAGGACACCGGCCATCCAGGACTGAGTTTAGACACCCCTGAAGTAGGGAATGTCATTATATCGTCATCGTAATCATAATATCGTCAGAATAAGTTAAATAATTAGATTACGATTGTCCATGCAAGCATAGTTGAGTGTTTGGACTCTGTTGTTGATTATAGCTGGTGATCAAAGAGTCTATCATGAACCTCTGCTTGCGTCTCTCCTGGAGCTTTTCAAATGAGATGTAAAAGGGAGAAAATAAGGCTCCATCTCATTCTGGTTGCCTAATACCGGGAGACACTTTGAACAAGTGGAAATATGACCCGTGGACCACAAGCCACAAATTCTAAATCATTGATGAGATGCTCCTCTTAGCTATACGCTCTAGCCGCGTCTGTCAATCTTCTGCGCCAATTATGCACCGCCATCCTTTATGTTTTTCAAGGAAGAGGTTATGTTTTTGCCGTGACCTTCTCTTAATGCCGGATTCATGCTCGAAGCATCCTGTGATATTGTTCTTTTCCGTCACATCAGAATGATTGCTGTCATTTTACATTTTATTTGATTGCCTGCTACTAAGATTAACTGCATGACTGAAATGCACACCTCTGCCAGCTGTGTTCATTGAGGATCAGTTGAGGTTTAATACTGTAGCTGTCGAGATGTAGTTCTCACTTATGTTGTGTTGAAATGTAAACTTTGTCAAATGTGTTTTTAACAGAAAAATAGTTTCTAGTAAAGATCTGAACAGATTTTTTTAAACTCTAGGCAGCATTGGATGATGATATACTACTACGTTTTCAAGTTCAGATTATAACACAACAATCTTGTTCAGAAACACAAGCCTTGCTTTTAAGAGAAAAACTAAGAAGCTTGTGTGAAGAAAATGAGTGTCGTAGATCTCTGTGCTGAGTAAAAAAAGACACAAAGCAAGAAAAGTGCATTTGGATATAGTCTTGGGTAAATCAGTATGGTTTCTACAGTGTGAGTTAAAGTTATTTGTGGATTTGTTCAAAAACAGAAGTTTTGTGACCCTAGACTACAAAACCAATCATATAAAGATCAGTTTTTGAAATTGAGATTTAAATATTATCTAAAAACTGAAAGAATTATTTTTCTATTTATTTCCAGTTTGAAAATCTGGAATCTAAGGGTTTAATAAACCTTAAATATTGAGAATTGTGCCTTTAAAGTCAATAAAGCAATGAAAATGCCTTTAAAGTCAATAAAGCAATGAATATTACTAATAAAAAAATATTTTAATAATATTTTGGTTAGAAATGTAAAAAATGTATTCATGGTAGATTGTAATAGTGTAATGATTTTAAAATATAAATTTTAACTCATATAATGTATTCTTGGCAACGCGATCTCACAGCAATTTATAGCTTTTTGATTTAGTGGACAATTAATTTTCTTTTTTACAATCTCATTTATCTATTTAAGTATGATTTGTTCACCCCTAATGGGGGGTAGGGTTAGGGGTGGGGTTTTGGGGCATGTTTCCTTCTAAAAATCATACTAAATAATCACTTTTCTGACAATACGTAAAATCAACCCAGGCTCATTCTGAACAGACAGTTCGACAGTTTTGAAAAGCAATCCAGAAAAAGAGAAGCCCTAGCTGGACTTTTACCATGTTTTTAGATTTGACCATATTCTCACCTTGTTATTTACTTGTTTATTCTATTTTTTGGCTTTTGTTTTTGTCTTACCTGCTTTTTGATACAGTTCTTCACCGGACTCAAACCCCGTCGTTGTGGTCAACTCCTCTCTGTCTCTCAAGTCTGCAGACGTACATGGCGAGTTAACTAGACAAACTGGTAACAGTGGGAAAGCCATCCATAAGGAGGTAAGCGGTCAGCTCGTAAGCACAAAAATAAATGGCATCATATCGCCCAGCAGTGTTTGTTTTAAGGATGAAATGCAGCCATACATACTTCTGGCTACATAATTCACGATCTCTAGAAATGTATATAGAGCTACATTTTCAGAATGAGCCTATGTTGCATAACAATAATAATAATAATAATAATAATAATACATTTTATTTCTAACTTAGCTAATCTAAGACCCAAAGCGCTAATAGTTACCTTGTGATATCAGACTGGCTATTCCCACAAATACAGCCATGGAACTGAAGACAGCTCTTCTGTTGTGGCTTTCTTTGGAACTAAGTTGTAAGTCTCTTTATTATTAACAACTTCTAAT